TTTTTAATTCAGTTTTAAATTAAATGTGCCAATGCTTAATAAAATACATCATGCTGTGTATTAGTGACCCCTTCCTATTTATAGGAGGCATTTCTCCATCCACGGGCCACAAAAAAATGGCATAAATACTGCTGCTGCAGGAGGTTGCGGGGTCTGCGCCGACCCTCTGCGCTGGTCTCTCCCATGGATCTATACAGGTCCGAGCTGGTCTCTCCCATGGACCTATACAGGTCCGAGCTGGTCTCTCCCATGGACCTATACAGGTCCACGCTGGTCTCTCCCATGGATCTATAGGGATCTCCCAGTAACATGACCCATAGCCGCGTCAGCCATTTTGACGAAATCCGTCCACCGACTCCGCAGCAATGGAGCTAAGCTAGCTAGTTCAAAAACTCTCTGGAACTACATGAAAACTGAACAAAGAATTCTGAACATCAGCGGTGTGTTACCCATTTATATACCGAACCTAAATGCATAATCAGATCCTCTTCAAATGTGTCCTAAAATGTTCGTTTCATGTTAATGGTTACTTCTGGGTTTGTCACAATCGCTTTTTGTCACATTAAAACAGTATTTAATAATACTGTTAAATAAAAAATAATTCTGAAAACCTCCGTGCATTTGTGTTAAGGATGTATATGTACACTGTATTCTCTGATTTACATTTATTTGTTTTGATTGATTGGTATTTGCTTATTGAGAGTGGCTAGCTCGGCAAGCTTCTCTTGCACAGTCAAGTAGTGATAGGCACTGAAAGCTCGTTGTACTTGTATTTTTGTCATGAAAACATGAAAAAATAATTCTGAAAACCTCCGTGCATTTGTGTTAAGGATGTATATGTATACTGTATTCTCTGATTAACATTTAATGGTGTTGATTGATTGATAGATATCTGTTTATTGAGCGTGGGCTAGCTTCTCTGTACAGACATAAGTAACAACTAGCTTTGAGGAGCCGTTTAATAAATTATAATTAAATATTTGAATATTTAAATTAATAAACAAACAAACTTCGAATATGATTTTTGTGCAAAAGTCAAAACCCTAGTCGTGACTGATGCTAACTGAGCTAATGCTAACTGAACAATAATGTCTGTTTATTGCCGCCAACCACTTGTTTCTCCGTTTTGTTTCTTTTGGGATACGGTATAAAGATATTCCTTTTGTCTGATCACGTATCTGGTTGCATCCAACTGCACAGTATTGCTCCGGCATGATAGGAAAATTTCGCAACGACTTGTAGTATCACCAGCGGTTTTGCATTTTCTATTCCGTCAAGATGGCTGCTCCAAATGGCGGGACGTCCCTATTACAGGACCACGCTGGTCTCTCCCATGGGTCTATTACAGGACTGCGCTGGTCTCTCATATATGCGGTCTCTCCTCAGTCTCTGCACGCCGGTCTTTCCAGTCTATGGTCTCTCCAGTCTACGGTCTCTCCTCGGTCCGCGCTGGTTTCTGCGTGCTGGTCTCTCCAGTCTATGAGATTCATTTTGAGATTCATATTTAATACATAATATATTTTTTTAATTAATCTCATAGCATTTTGAGATTAATCTCGTAATATTTTTAGATTAATCTAATAATTTTGCTAGTTCGACTTTAGTCTCATAATATTTCAACTTTAAAGTCAAAATTGTACGACTTTAATCTCAGTCTGGCAAAAGAAGAAAAAAGGGTGACTTTTTAGCTCCGTGTAACTCTTTGCTTTAGGCATGTTGCTGTTTTCTTTGGCGTCTGCACACGGCCTGCAGTCCCTTTTATGGGCATTAATGGGCGGTAATCTATGCTAAGTACCTATGCTAATGAATCACCTGGCACGCTCTACTTACGAGGAGTTGCCATTCATCAATCTAAGAAAACATGATGAATCCCACGTAGGGTCTTCTTAGAAATCTACTCGAGAACGACTTGAGAAGAAATTTAAGAAGATTCTTTACGAAGATATTGGTGAATGAGGCCCATTGTCTGGAGTTTGTCAGAAAAAAGAGAGAGAGGTACATAATAAAAAAAACAAAAAAAATGACCTAATCTCCCTCCCCCTTCCTTTCTGATTGGTGTACGCCTACGTTTCCGTAACAATCAATCAACACATTTAAATGTTAATCTGAGAACACATTATATACATTATTAATACACATGCACACAGGTTTTCAGGATTATTTGTTAACGTTTTCATGATAAAAATAATGTTTTAAGGCACAAAAAAAGGGATCGGGGGAAACCCGGAAGTGGCTATTATCATGAATTGAACATTATAGGACACATCTGCAGAGGATCTGATTATGGATATAGGTTCAGTATATAAATGATTATGGATATAGGTTCAGTATATAAATGATTATGGATATAGGTTCAGTATATAAATGATTATGGATATAGGTTCAGTTTATAAACTGGTAACTCAGCAAGGATGTTCAGAATTCTTTGTTCAGTTTTCATTTAGTTCCAGAGCCTATAAAGGCTTGATTCGGAGGTTCCGTGAAAACAAACAACTGAGCATGAGCAGCTACGATCATGAGCGCCGATGATTGACAGCCCTTGGCATCACTTGATTGGTTAAAGTGGACGGGATCGTGGATTTTTGAGCTATAGCTAAGAGAAGGGAAGGCGGGACTTACCCACAATATTAGAATTCATAAAATGACTTATTTTATATCAACATTTAAGCCCAGGAGGTCAATTTAATACAATTCTTAAAATTTGTAATTCATTTGGAGTTCCAGACTATCACTTTAATGGAAATTGTGAATTCTATTCATCAGTGCAATCATGCCCCATTCTGAACAGACTGCAGACAATTTACTCCAAAATCATCTGAACTGTAAGACGGCTGCAGTAAATTATGAAAAGGCTCATACCCTCGAGCGTTAATTATCATTATCAACTTCAAATAAGTGGCACTAATGTTTATTACCAAATTGTTACCTAATTAGTTCCTTTAACCAGTCAGTTATACAGACTGGCATTTGAAGAATATAAGGCATGCCTAACCATTTCTGATTTTGAGAAAGTTATAACAAAATAAAACATGGTAAAACAGATTGTTGGGTGTAAAATCTTAACCAGTTTCATTTTGGTAACTTTTACATGTCCACTTTAATTCTCGGGGCTGTTTAATGACTACATTTGCATAGTTGTGATTTATTTTGTACTTGAATAAGGGCTCCATTTCTTTGCAAGGAAGATTGTATTAGATCTTAAATATGTAATTAGTTTAGAAGTGGTACGACAATTCTCATTTTCCTGCGCCTTCATAAACAGCTGTGTGCTGGGGTGTGATATTTGTTGTTTCTGTTGCTGCTGTTGCCTACATGTCACAGGATCGGCGACATTTGATTTTGACAGTGCTCGCTGGGCACGTACTGTTATTTCCGTCACAACGGCGCGCTGCAGGGAGCCGTCCTGAGCACTGAGCGTACTGCAGTGTGGGGTCATATGCGACCTGGGGTGCTCCCTGGTGAACACGGTTCTACTACACTGATCCTGTCAGTCAGCCAGCCAGTCACAGGACCAGGCAGGCGGCTGGAGGAGAGCGCCTGGCAGAGAGGCAGCGGACACACACACACGCACACGGAGATGGAGGCACTGAGACAAGTATTCCCCATAGTCCATCCACAGAACTGCTCAAATGATGCAGCAGCTCTCAAGAGGCCTGGGCAGCTCGAGGAGGACCTGATGCCGCAGTAGCAACAGCAAGGTCACTCTGTGTCAATTATCAGATGTGATCTGACGACTTCAAAAGCAGAGCAGAAGAGGGATCAATTATTACGTGGGCCACAAATAGACTTCCTTCTGACAATTTTTTTATATTGGACTAGACCATGTTAATATCTATAGCCCTCTAAAGCCGGGATACTTAACTTTTTCCCCTCATATATTAGGGCCCCAGCTTTAATTTAGCGAGTTAAGTTGCACTTCGGGAGGAGACACGGACACTTGAGGTTCCATAGTCCAGCTTCAGCGGCGTAAATATTGCGTGCAAAGACACGCACACAACAAGCAGATAATAGTTCTGTGCGTGCATGGTCTTTGATCACATTACGGCGGCGTCGTTCGCCGTGTTGTTGTCAAAGAAACTCACAGCCGCCGGAGAATCGAATCGCTGTCCAGAGCGGCTGCAGCTGCCCCGGGTCAGAACGCTGCGGCCATGGAGGATGCAGACTCCCGTTTGAGTTCATATAACAGCAAGTGCCCCGCGGTCACACGCATATTCTTTTTAAACTTGAGTTTGCAGAGGGCCTACCTGCTCTGTCGCCATCTTACACAAGCATGTGTCCGTGGCATTCTGAGTGTTATTATGGGATGCATAATATCACGTGGGTTAATTTTTTAACGTGATTAATGAAAACATTTAATTTTATGTGCGTAAACGTGATAATTTTGACAGCCCTAATATATATATATCTTAAAGACCCCAACATTCTGTCTTCATCTTATAAGAAACGAATCATCTTTCCTTTTTGAGAAAGAGGAACTGGTTATTTGGTAACAAATTTCCATTGTTATAGTTAGAATGTTATGTACGCCAGCTATAGTGTGAATCAATTCTTTATACAGTGTTCCATAAAACAGCATTTGTCGCTTGTTGCTTCTAACTGCGAGATATGCAGCAATAAAGGGCCTGAATTACAGGTATAACCAGCATCACAGGGGCACACTGCAGAGGCTGTTAATCCCTGACTAATGAACTCAGCTTCCCCTGTTGCCTCTCTGGACACCTCCACCTGTGCGAGTGTGTGTGTGAGAGGGTTAGTGCGACTGGAGAGGACAGGCTCCCGTTCCTCCAGCCTGACAGGCATAACTCAGCCATACAATTTCACGCTTTGTGGGCAGTACACACCGCTGCCTTCCCCATCCCCTGGACCTGCACCCACAACCACCTGACGCCACTCGCACACTCAACTCTGCTATTAGGAATGAAGGAAAAAGACCAAATCAAAAATTAATCCCTCAACATCCACCTGAAATTGAAAAAAAAAATACAAATAAGTGGACTTACCATTTTGTTATTGATTTCATGAAAATGAATTTCACAGACTTTCTCTACGATGTCCTCACTCTCAAAAGTAATGAAACCAAATCCTACACAGAAAAGAACAGAGAGGGGAGGGGGGCAAGAAAGAGAGACAGTTAGCTTCAACAAAACTTCCAAAAGAAATGATGATGAATTATTATTATCACAAGCAGATTCAGAAACTTTGCAGGTTCATCTTTGGAGATTGGCTTTGGCCTTGAAAAGAACAAGTGAACAAGACAGGCATTGTCCTCTTTAAATCAGGAATATGATGAAATCTGCCACATTATTAAGGGCACTCCAAGACCTCCTCTGCAGATGGAAGATGGAAAAACAGCACAAAGCTTTGTAATGAGATTCACCGAGCCAGGCCCCAGCATCTGAATTTCATTAAATGTATTTTGTGTTCTTTTTATTGAAATCTCACTGTATAACAAGCCCTCGGTTTTATGTTAATGCAGGCCTCAGAATGGATGTGTCATTGACTGTGGGTTTTTTATGCCATATTTATGGGATAAAAGCTTAACCCCCCTTTTTAACACAAAAGATACAGACAAGATGGTTGCAGGTTTTTGAACACGCTTTTTTGATGGGGATGCGCAAAGCAATTGAGCATCTTGTGTGGTCCAGGGTTGAAAGAAAAAGTGATCTTGTATTACTTCTGCAAAAGGAGAAAATGGCACAATAGGAACACATTTAGTGAATAAAAAAACAAGCGTGGCTGAGAGGAGATGGGTTTCTTTAACAAAAAGCACCCTGAAATCACTTCAGATAAAGCCTAAACACCAGTCAAAATAAACAGCTTGCCGCCCTGACATCCTCTTGACTCAAAATGCACTATTTGGCATACAATACAGACAATAGAGTGCATATAGTGTATGTAACCACAACTTATACTCTGTGCTACAGCTCTCTGCGTCACTTTACAAGCGGGATGACTGCCATTCTTCACAAATATTCATCATTAACCATACAATAACATATTAAAACAAACCAATCATTCTTAATTTTATGAATTGTATTGTATTCTGAGGCTGATTTAGCATAGCATTTCATGACACATTTTTTCAACCTTGACTCACAGAAAAATAAAAAGTAAAGCAATTCAAGCAGAAACATTAATATCCTGTGTAATAATGTTGGCCTTATCAACTCTTCCAGTGCGATATGGATACATGAAGAAAAAATACATACATAACAAAATACATCTATAATACATTTTATTCATTAAGGTGGATTGATTAATCATTTAGAAGCAAAAGCATTTCCTAATCTTCTATAGACTGCGTAAGTGTGCATATTAAGTGTCCCTAAATGATGTGCCGTTAGCGCTGTCTGTCTTCTTCAAGTAACAATAGATGCTCTTCAAACCGGAACATTTCTGTAACCGCCTCGTCGAGGGAGGACTTAGACACCTTAATGCTTCAGCTGATTAAACATAGACAACATCTAATAAGATCTTAAGAGACAGAATATCAATTTTCTAGTGTGTGACATCCCTGCGCCGAGCTTGGGGCGAGAACATGCAACGGCAGGAAAAACAGGGTAGCGAGAGAAAGATAGATGTGCCCTCCGCTCACCCTACCTTCATGCCAGCGTAAGGAGCACTTTTGACAACCAACAAATCAACCGCCAGGAGTCATTTGTCACAGGGGAGTGTCGGGGTGGAGAGGGGAGTAAAGTCTATAGGGTGGGGGGATGGAAGAATGGGGGAGAGAGGGAGAGAAAGAGCGACTAGGAAAGAGGTTAACGCACATGGCCTCTGTCGCCGCACTCCTTCCTGCTGCTACGGGCGGCTCTTCCATCAACTGACAAGACATTTTCTACCGCACCATTATATCCTGTGGGGTCAGGGTTGGACCACACCACAGATACCAGCGACCACCAACAGCAGCTCTCCGGCTCGTCCCATCTCTCTCTCTTTCTCTGTCTCCCCGTAAGAACGTGTTTGCAGTGGCTGTAAACTGCAGTTGGAATGTGTCCCATCGCCATCAAACAGCAAACTTCCCCTTGTTTTTCTCTCCTCCTTCCTATTTGCAATCGTCCCCCTGTGGGCTCTCTGAACTCGCGGTCCTCTTGCTCAGCTATCCCATTTTACAGACCTTACCGACAATTATAGGCCACAAAATAGCCCCGACCCAAGCCATACTCTTCCTGCAAGGTGTCAGCACAAAACCGGCTTTGTCCTCTAGAATCTTCGAATATTTTTCTTCCAAACACATTGAGTTTGACCTCTATGAGACTATTACAGCCTGTCAGCATTGATGGACAGGAGGAAGAGGTGTCAACACTTGGGCAGAGAAGACCCTCCCTACAGCTTAAACAATAGGCTGTAAATGGAGGCACAACGATGTCTGATGGTAAGGTTGATAATAGGTGTTGTTTGGATGGACTTGCTCCGGCCCTCTTGGCTACACTCGCTCACACTTATTAGCCAGCGCCGGGCACGGGCCCCAATCCCATCGTTCCACTAAATTGGCAGAGAGCCTACTTTCACGGCCCTTTACCAGCTTCATCATTCTGCCTCTTTATTTCACACTCATTGCAGGTTTTCTGCTTGTGTACACTGATGTTTCTCAGCAGCCCATACAGCCTCAGACACCTCCCCAGCTGAAATCCACAAAAACAACCTGGCAACTCTAGAGGTTATTTCAAGACAAACAAAAAAGTGCAATGCAAAAAGTAAGTATATACAGTGCCTTGCGAAGGTATTCGGCCCCCTTGAACCTTTCAACATTTTGCCATATTTCAGGCTTCAAACATAAAGATATAAAATTTTATTTTTTTGTCATGAATCAACAACAAGTGGGACACAATCGTGAAGTGGAGCCAAGAGGCCCATGATCACTCTGGATGAACTGCCGATAACTACAGCTGAGGTGGGGATGGTGTGTTCAGGGTGATGAGCTGTGTTGCTTTTACGCCAAACATATCGTTTTGCATTGTGGCCAAAAAGTTCGAGTTTGGTTTCATCTGACCAGAGCACCTTCTTCCACATGTTTGGTGTGTCTCCCAGGTGGCTTGTGGCAAACTTTAAGAGACTTTTATTGGATATCTTTGAGAAATGGCTTTCTTCTTGCCACTCTTCCATAAAGGCCAGATTTGTGCAGTGCACGACTGATTGTTGTCCTATGGACAGACTCTCCCACCTCAGCTGTAGTTATCTGCAGTTCATCCAGAGTGATCATGGGCCTCTTGGCTGCATCTCTGATCAGTCTTCTCCTTGTTTGAGATGAAAGTTTGGAGGGACGGCCGGGTCTTGGTAGATTTGCACTGGTCTGATACCCCTTCCATTTCAATATAATTGCTTGCACAGTGCTCCTTGAGATGTTTAAAGCTTGGGAAATCTTTTTGTATCCAAATCCGGCTTTAAACTTCTCCACAGCAGTATCTCGGACCTGCCTGGTGTGTTCCTTTGTCTTCATGGTTCTCTCTGCGCTTTAAACAGAACCCTGAGACTATCAAAGAGCAGGTGCATTTATACGGAGACTTGATTACACACAGGTGCATTCTATTTATCATCATCAGTCATTTAGGACAACATTGGATCATTCAAAGATCCTCACTGAACTTCTGGACTGAGTTTGCTGCACTGAAAGTAAAGGGGCCAAATAATATTGCACGCCCCACTTTTCAGTTTTTTATTTGTTAAAAAAGTTTAAATTATCCAATAAATTTCATTCCACTTCACAATTGTGTCCCACTTGTTGTTGATTCATGACAAACAATTACAATTTTATATCTTTATGTTTCAAGACTGAAATGTGGCAAAATGTTGAAAGGTTCAAGGGGGCCGAATACTTTCGCAAGGCACTGTAGATTCAGATCAATTAATCTTTCAAATATATGTTGTTCAGATCCAAATTCTACATCAAACAACTGTAGAATTCTCAATACAATAATTTTACTTAGTTTATAGGCTATGGTTATACCGAAAAAATAACAATCATAAAAAATGAGAAGAAGGACCACTCTTGAATAAGAATGAAGCAATCCAACTACTATATATGGTCGGCTTCCCCAGCTCCTAATGAATCCAGCTAACTATCCTGAGGAGGTTATGCATTGTCATAGCTATATATAAAACTTAGACTGTGCTCATTACCACTGTTCCAGGTAAAGCCAAAGATAAATGAGGGTAAAGGGAAGGAATGGCAAGGGGTGTTTTATGCAACTTTAAAAGTAGAAGACAAAACCTCTTTCTAACACAAACTTTGGAAATACAGAGCGAGTGATGGGAGAGGTGTAGGGTCAGAGAGTGTTTGAACCTGTGTCTCGTCTGAGTGAGTGAATGTGTATAACAGTCTGTGTGTATAACAGCGCATTTCTGAGATTTAATATAAATGTAAAACATGTAAAAACAGTGATACCACACAAGCTGAGAAGAAACTCGTGGCCAAGTGACAATTATTGCAAAAATGTCCTCCTTCGATGTTGGCTCTTCCCATCATTGTGAAGCAGAATTCACCCAGCCTTGATAGTTCACCCACTAATGGGGAACGTGACCTGGGTTTAGATTAGTGGGGGCGGGCCCCGGGTCCAAAAGGTCCATGAGCATGTGCGCTGACATGCTTGCAATCTTACTCCGGGCCGGTGGGGGTGGACCCGGAATGAGAATTACCCAATGCTTTTGTATGGTGTCTTCTTTCCTCTTGAAAACAGCTTTACAGGACGGTCCAAAAGTTGGCTCTTGACCCAACGCTATGTTCCAGATGTGTGCAATGCTGAGGGGAGTATTTCTTTTTGGACCAGTCTAGTTTAGCTGCTGTGGACTTCAGAAGACATGGGGCTAGTGCCGTCTAACATATGCGCAAATGCGTATGTTAGCCGGCATATGCGTTTTTTCAAATTTCCATGGCCATTTTGAAAAAGCCCCATAGAAGGCAAAAGTGATGGCACATTAGTTTTAACGGCGTAGATAGGCGTGACTACGGCCAGTAATATTCACAGTCTATGGTTTAGATGGTCGTGAGACAGGTTAGTTTTACCCTACTGATGACGTGTTGTTGCAATAGTAATCCTGCTATCCTTTTCTGCAAGTAAAAAACAAGAACATTGTGTTCAACAG